GGGGGGGCGTACAGGAAATGGGGGGGGTGCTGTGTGATGGATGTTGGCAGTGGGGATGGGGGGGCCCTGGAGGGGAGCGCATGGGGGAGGGATGGGGCAGGAGGACTTGCAGACCAAGTGTATTTAGGGGTGAGGCTGTGGGGCCAGGAGTACCCGGGGGTGGATCTGGGGGGTGAGTCTTGGGGAGGGGGCAGCAGCATTACCCCGGGGCAGGAGGGAGTTGGGGTACACCCAGAGCAGGAGAAATACAGCTGGGGTTGGGGGGCTGGCTGGGGGAGCGCTGAGTCCCCTGACCCCCACCCCACCCCTTGTTGCCCCATAGATCCGCATCGACAAGCTGGTGGACAAGTGGTCGGGCTCCATCGAAATCGGGGTGACGACCCACAACCCCAACAGCCTGGAGTACCCCGCCACCATGACCAACCTGCGCTCCGGTACCTGCCTCCAGGGGCGGGGTTGGGGGGAGGCCAGGACGCCTGGGTTCTCTCCCTGGCTCGGGGTGGGCGGGTCTGTGGGTTAGAGCTGCGGGGGGGCTTGGAGCCAGGACTCCTTGGTTCTCTCCTCAGCTCTGGGAAGGGAGTGGGGGCTGGTGGGTTAGAGCAGGCGGGGGCTGGGAGCCAGGACGCCTGGGTTCTCACCCCGTCTCTGGGAGGGGCGAGTCCCTATGTCTGTGCCTCAGTTTCCCCCTCCTGCACTCCTGTGCAGCTCCTTTGGCTGAATTTGGGGGGAAGGAGGAGCTGAATTGGGGGTGGGGGGTGTTCCTGAGGTGTGGGTCCACGTGGCTGATGGGAGGCATCCCCCTGCCCCCCCCCCTCGCCCCCCCCCAGGCACAATCATGATGAGCGGCTGCGGAATCCTGACCAACGGCAAAGGGACCCGGCGGGAATACTGCGAATTCAGCCTGGACGAGCTGCAGGTGAGTGCCCCCCCCCCCCATGACTGATCCCGCTGTCCTCCCCAAAACCCTCCTGCGGATGAGCCCCCAAGACCCCTGTAGCCAACTCCCTGCAGGAGCCCCGAAACCCCATCGCCAGCCCTCTGCGGGTGAGGGGTCCCCAAACTCCTGCACCCCTCATGTGCGAACCAGGCTCCCCCAAACCTGGCCCTCTGTATCCCCGCACATCTCTCATACCCCTGTACCCCCATCAGCCCCCCTCTACCTCTGCCCTCATCCCCTCATTGGGTTCCCCGGCTGTAGCTCCCCCTAACTGCCCCCCCTCTTGTCCCCACAGGAGGGGGATCACATTGGCCTGACGCGGAAATCCAACAACGCCCTGCACTTCTACATCAACGGCATTGACCAAGGTAAGGGGCACTCTCCCCTGGCAGGCAGGGTTTACTCTGGTGCCGTTATAACCAGACGCCCCGCCCCAAAGGTGGGCACATCTCAGGGCCCGGGAGAGGGGTCCCTCGGTAACCGGCTGCCCCGCCCCAGAGGTGGCCGCATCTGAGCGCTGGGCAAGGGGTCCCTGTGTAACCAGCCGCCCCGCCCCAGAGGTGGCCGCATCTCGGCGCTGGGCGAGGGTCGCTGGAAACCAGCCGCCCCGCCGCAGAGGTGGCTGCATGGTGTGTGCTTCTCCCCTTCCCCCGCAGGCGTGGCTACCAGCCTGACCCCGCTGGTGGTGTACGGTGTGGTGGATCTCTACGGCATGGCGGTGAAGGTCACCATCGTCCACAACCACAACCACAGCGACCGGCTGCGGCGGAACAATGCCATCATGCGGGCGCTCTCCCCGGACGTGGGGCGCCGCGCCCTGGAGGCCAGCGGGGTGGGCGAACCCGAGCCGGAGCGCCTGCTCTTCCACGCCAATTGTGGCCAGAAGGCGGCCATCATCAACGACGGGCGCACGGCCCTCCGCCCGCAGTGAGTGCCAGCCTGCCCCCGCCAGGGTCTGGGGCCGTCACGTATCCTGCATCTCAGCGCCGGGCAAGGGGTCCCTGGGGAACCGGCCGCCCCACCCCAGAGGTGGCCGCATCTCAGCGCCGGGCAAGGGGTCCCTGGGGAACCGGCCGCCCCACCCCAGAGGTGGCCGCATCTTGGCACCGGGGTTGGCGGCTGGTTTCTGAGCTAACCCGTTTCTTTCCCCCAGCGCCACGGACGACTTCAACCACGGCGTTGTCCTTAGCAACCGGGCCCTGCGGAACAACGAGGTCTTCCAGGTGCGGATCGACAAGATGGTGGACAAGTGGGCGGGCTCCATCGAGATCGGGGTGACCACGCACAACCCCACCTACCTGCAGCTACCCTCCACCATGACCAACCTGCGCTCAGGTCAGGGCCTGGGCACCCCACGAGGGCTGGAGGGGGGGTAACACCCGGCCGCTGGCTCTGGCCCCATCCTCACCCTTCCTCCAGTGGGTAGCCAGCTCCCTTTGGGAGAGTCCTGGCCCTCAATTGCCCCCAAAGCGGGGCTGGCAGCTGTGTCCTGTGGCGGGTAGTTCCCTGGGTTAATTGCCAGCTGGGGGTGCTGGCAGCTGGCTGTTCCTGGGATAATTGGTGAGTGGAGCGGGCTGGCAGCCGTGCCCTGCGGCGGGTAGTTCCCCAGGTTAAGCTCTCCCCGGGGCAGACTGGTGGATAGTTCCCTGGTTTAACGGGGGCGGGGGTTATGGTCGTCCCTCATAGGCTGCTGACAGCCCCACGCGGCTGAGCTGGTCCTTGGGTCCTGCGGCGGACAGTTCCGCGGGTTAACGGTGAGCTGCGTAACACCCCCCCACCCGTACCCTCTCCCCCAGGCACCTGGATGATGACGGGCAATGGGGTTATGCACAACGGCACCACCATCCTGGACGAATACGGGCACAACCTGGACCGACTCAAGGTGAGTTGGGCGGGCTGTGGGGACAGCCCGTCCCCCCACCCCTGGGCAGTGCCCTCACCCCCTCTGCCTTGTCCCCGTTTCCCCCCCCCAGGCTGGTGACACGGTGGGCGTGGTTCGCAAGGAGGACGGGACGCTGCATTTCTTCGTCAATGGGGTGGCGCAGGGGCCGGCCGCCTGGAACGTGCCCCCCAACGTCTACGCCGTGGTGGATCTGTACGGGCAGGCGGCGCAGGCCACCATCCTCGACGACATGGGTGAGCCGGGGGGCCTGGCATGGGGCTGGGGGGGTAGTGGGGGGGGGGGGCGGTCACAGGGCCGTGTCGTGCTTCCGGGGTGGGGGCTGGGATCTGGTGGGGGGGGACCAGGGCTGTGTCCATGCTGGAGGGTCCCAGGGCTGGGATATGGGGGGGGGAGCTGGGATATAGGTGGGGGGAACAGGGCTGTGTCTTGGTGCCAGGGCGCCCGAGGGGCTGGGATATGGGGGAGGCTGTGTCTCAGTGTTGGCGGGGGGGGTCTCAGGGCTGGGATAGAACTGGGGGTGGGAGGGGGATGGAGGCCTTATCTTGGTGCGGGGGGAGCCTGTCTCTTGGTGCCTGGGGGGGTCCCGGGGGCTTGGGTACAGCAGGGTGGGTGGACCCCCCCGTGCACCCCAGGAACACCCCGCCTCCCTCGCTTCCCCCCCCCAGATCTCCTCCCGCTGCCCGACGACCTGTCGGAGGGCAACAACCAGCTGTCGCCCAGCAGCCCCTCGTCCGCGGCCTCGGTGAGCGACCTGCGCTTCCACCACCTGCACGGCGCCAACGCGGTGATCACCAACGGTGGGCGCACAGCGCTGCGCCAGAACTGTCGCAGCGAGTTCAACGACGCCATCGTCATCTCCAACCGGTCGGTGTGTGGGGCAGAGCCGGGCACCGTCCCCCCCTTCCTCCCCCGCCCCCTTGGCTCCGGTGCCAGGGCTCACCGCTCTCCCCTCTCCCCGCGCAGGGCCCTCCGGGACGGTGAACTCTTCGAGATCGTCATTCAGAAGATGGTGGATCGCTGGTCCGGCTCTATAGAGGCAGGTGAGAGACGGGGAAATGGGGGGGTGGAGTCCCTGGACCCCACTTCCCTGGCGTAATGCCCCACCCACCCAGAGAGTGCCACTGGGGGATGGCAGTCGGTTTCACTTCCTGTCCCATCTCCGCGCCGGGCGAGGGGTCCCTGGGTAACCAGCCGCCCCGCCCAAGAGGTGGCCGCATCTCAGCGGCGGGCGAGGGGTCCCTGGGTAACCAGCCGCCCCGCCCAAGAGGTGGCCGCATCTCAGCGGCGGGCGAGGGGTCCCCATGTAACCAGCCGCCCCGCCCCAGAGGTGGCCGCATCTCAGCGGCGGGCGAGGGGTCCCCATGTAACCAGCCGCCCCGCCCCAGAGGTGGCTGCATCTCAGCGCCAGGCGAATTACATTGCGACCCGGTGACACACAAGCTCAGAGCGAGTGGGGTCCCATGGGGGGCACTCATCCCTAGTTTCGTGGCTCACCTGGATAATGGATTGGCGAGTGTATTTTCCGAATTCGGAGCGGCCCCTGAGCCGGGAGGGGTCGCCAGCACTTTCGGGGGCCAGATCAGAAGTCGAACTGACCGCGCCAAACTGGTCTGACCTCACCAAGTTGAAATTCAGTGAAGACCAGCAGCCCGGCCCCCACTTAGGAAGAGAAAATCAACCGGGGGCTAAGCAGCAGGGGGCTCGTATGGCCGCAAAGCCGCCCGGGGTGGTTGCAGGGCAAAGCCTGTTCCGTGGTGTGTTATCTGGGGGGTGCGTGCAGGAGGCCCGGGCGAACTCCGAGCGGGGAGTTGGGCGGCCTCTCTGGGTCCCTTCCGGCCCCTCACAGCTCGGACTCCCTCTGGCAGGGGTCACGGCCATCCGGCCCGAAGACCTGGAGTTCCCCAACACCATGACGGACATCGACTACGACACCTGGATGCTCAGGTGAGTGTGGGGGGGTGGTGTGAGGGGGACGGACCTGGGGGGGGGTAGGACCATATCTCCTCCTGATTCCCCCTTCCCCCCCCCCCAGCGGCACGGCCATCATGCAGGACGGCAACACCATGCGCAACAACTACGGCTGCGACCTGGACTCGCTGACCACGGGCTCCCGCATCGGCATGATGCGCACGGCCAAGGGCGACCTGCACTACTTCATCAACGGCGTGGACCAGGGCGTGGCCTGCTCTGGCCTGCCCCCCGCCAAGGGTGAGCCGCCCCGGCCTGCCCCCTCCCCACCCCCTGCAACCGTGGGTTGGACTGATCCCGCCCGCAGCAATGGGCCTCTTGGTCTGATCTGGGCCCGTGTGTTGTT